CCGTTCCTCCCATTCGGACGCTTGTGTGCTCTCACTGTGATTTTCACAATGAGAATCACGCAAGCGCCTCTAGCGGCTGTCAATGAGACAGCCGCTAGAGGAATTGGAGGAAGGATTAACCCATTTGTAAACAGAGCATATAAAAAATGGGTTAATCCTAGCTGGACCTGGCACCCAGACCACTTCATTAAGCTGAAGTGGTCTGGACCTCCCGTGACGTCACCCTGCTCTCAGAGAGGAGCATTGCAGACTGATGTGCATGCGCGATGAGTACTGCACGTGCATCCAAATTCTTTTCACAGGAGAGCATTGAATTAAACACTTTCCTAATAGCTGCATCATCACAAGATCGAGTTGCAGAGGAAGTGCCTCTAGTGGCTGTCTAGAAGACAGCAATTAAGTGTATGTTTAACCATGCAATGCAGTTTCTATAAAACTGCAGGCTTTCACAGTGCAGGGTTAAAACTACAAGCCCACTGCATCCGGACTACTTCATGTAGTGGTCTGGGTGAGATGTAGTGGTCTGTGTGACTTTGGTGTTATTTCAAGTAAATTGTGACTTTCCTCACCAGTAAAAGAAATGTGTTCCTAGGAAACGGTGACTAAGCAACAGAAAAAACAAAGATGAAACCACATTCAAGTCAATTTTCACATGGAAATGAATACTAAAAGAGTAACTGAACACACTGAAATAAACCAATTTAATTGAGTATATAAAACAGTGGTTTGTTTGTTTGTTTCACTTTTTCCTTCAATGTCTATGCTTACTGTAAGTGGTATTTTAGCTAGAATGTGTGGTGCCACTAGTCCTAATGTTTAAAAAAAACCTCTGCAAACTTTTCTCACACATTTTCTTACAATATTTTGTGCTGTGGAGTGAGAAAACAGTGGTGTGTTTGAAAAACCACACTTATTTTCGGTTTCCTCAATGCTGTTCTACATGAGCACAATATTGTATTTCACCTGCTTTAACATTTATCTAAGATATAGGTGATACAACTGTGTGTTGCTGGAACGACACCTCTCTTCCACAGTTCTGTTAATATGTGTGAGATAAAACTATACTCATCTCTGAAAAATATCATAGCCTTCTGTATCTTTTTACTCTGTGATGGATCTTTACCACGTGTCAGTAAGTAATATACACCTTTTCTGTGATTTATTGTTTCTGGCAGGAGTTGTCATTTGTGATGATCTTCCCCAGTATTTAGTTACTTGCTACTTATTACTAGTAACTATTTAGTAACTATTTAGTTACATTTTTAACATTTTCATTTTTTTTTTGCATTTATTTGTGTTGCCACCTTGGTCACTTGTATTTTGACGTAGAAGGCTAGGCAGGATATGTGTAGGATATTCACAAAATCTGTTTTGTATGTATTGTTTAAATTAAATGTGTCATTTTTTTTTTGTCTGTTGTTTCTCTTGCACTTCAATTTTCATAAATCATAATAATCAAAAAAATAATAATTTTTGAATGTACACCATTTTTTCAGGTAAAAAACCGCCTTATGGCAGACTGTGTCAGGTCCTCGGTCACTGACCGAGGACCTGACACCAGGAGGGGGCCCGGCGGCTTGCCCAGTATGCCGCCGGGTGCGAGGCCCCTCCTGGCTGCCCGGCCACCATCGCAGACTCTGGTCTGCAGCTCTGCAGTGAGCAGAGCTGCAGACCATGTGTCTCATGAGAATTGGCCAATCAGAGCGTTGCCGTGGGTTACCACGGCAACGCTCTGACATCTCACGAGATTACATGGTAAGATTACACCAGAAGCAGTGGCCACTGGACCACCAGGGAGCCCACTGGACCACCAGGGAAGAAAGGGTAAGCTCTCTCACCCCCCCCTTTTCACCCTCAGCCTCACTACCCCCTTCAGCCTCACCACCACCCTCAGCCTCACCACCCCCCTTCACCCTCAGCCTCTCCACCCTCATCCTCACTACCCCCTTCAGCCTCACCAACCTCAGCCTCACCACCCCCTTCACCCTCAGCCTCACCACCCCCTTCACCCTCAGCCGCACCATCACCCTCAGCCTCACTACCCCCTTCAGCCTCACCACCACCCTCAGCCTCACCAGCCCCCTTCACCCTCAGCCTCACCATCCCCACCACCCACAGCCTCACCACCACCCTCAGCCTCACCAGCCCCCTTCACCCTCAGCCTCACCATCCCCACCACCCACAGCCTCACCACCCCCTTCACCCTCAGCCTCGCCACCCCCACCACACCCAGCCTTGCCTTCCCCACCACCTTCAGCTTCACCACCTCCTTCACCCTTAGCCTCACCACCCCCCTTCACTCTCAGCCTCACCACCCCCTTCACTCTCAGCCTCACCACCCCCAGCCTTGCCATCCCCACCACCCTCAGCCTCACCACCCCCTTCACCCTCAGCCTCACCACCCCCTTCACCCTCAGGCTCACCACCCCCTTCAGCCTCACCACCACCCTCAGCCTCACCACCACCCTCAGCCTCACCACCCTCAGCCTCACCACCC